AGAATTTATAGAACTGAACCAATGAGAGGGGAATAGAACCTTGTAGATGTCAAACCAGTATGAGCGCTTAACAGGATACATGACTCTTAACCCGGATAATATAGGACTATGCAGAACAACAGCTCTTAGACGAGGTAATCGAGCAGCGAGATCCACAGTAGGACCACTTCCGACAGACTGACCATATAGGATGATATTTTCTTGCTTGGCACCATAATTCTCTTCAAGACACTTGTATGCAGCTTCAATATCTGCATACGTATTCTGCTCACTCGGCTGAGCAAAAACATATAGATGAACATGAGAGAGAGCTTTCCGGATGCAAGTAATTCAGACACATAGTATGAGTAGAAGATTCATGCCACAATTACCTTTCCCGACGATTGTCCATAGCCAGAGTAGTCATACCTGCAAATATTTTTATACGTTATTTGAAATATTCAAGAAGCCGTGCTAATGAGGGGATAAAAACAGTTTCACACATTAACCTTAGGAACTGTGTGCGCCGTAGCAGATGTCACCCGCAGTTAAGCATTTCATAGAGGCTCAAACACAAGCAGCAATGTAACACAAAAAGAAAGATCTGTATACTACTAGCAAATCTATGCTACTCAAACTCATATGTAAGTGTTGTAAACGAAAATGCTATTTTTTTTCCTAAGTTCTCTCATACACTTGGATGTCGAATTTGGGTATTTCGATAAAAATAAAGTGCAGGGCAAGTCAATTATAGCTGTTTATATAACAATAAAGTGGCATACATGAACAGGCTATAAGCCTCAATTTGCATTTTCATAGATAACTTTTCCTTTCTCTATGAGAAAAGAATTCGTTGCTCATGCATGACAATTACAAGTATTGAATGCTCCATAACCATATTATAACCAACAGTTTCCATTAAACCCTAGATCTAAGACCGACAGTACAGAAAACCATGAAGGGCTAAAAGGTATTGACCTTAGTTGAGAGCTATATCACCCAACTCTTCATTTTTTTCTTGAAGTATTTGTGTCCGATGCATATCCGGATATGGATATATAGGAATATGATCCTCTAAAGATGCTCCAATCACATTGAAATCTTGAAATAATTGAACATACCTGCATTGAACACATTTACATGTCCAACACTCATACCTGGATTTGAGTAACATAGATTGGGAGTATCCTAACAAGAACAGTCCCGATCTATGCCATTCTACCATTGATCTAATTTGATGAAGCAAGGTAGACAGTGAGTAAAATTCCTCAGAAACCACCATCGCATACCGACCTTTTGTGGTTTAGAGTCGATAACAAGAATCACACACACGATAACAGAATAACCCAAAGATGCTTGAGAAAACAGATCTGAATTAAGAAATAAACCACCACAAGATTTCAAGCGCTGAATTCAGTCGAACCATGATTATGAACAACCTAACTGGCATTCTTGAAGCTCAATAAACAAGTAATTTTCCCAACCAGGAACCTCAATCAGATCATAAAAACAAAAGGTAGACAATAAATTAGAAACTTACACAAAAACCCCTCATCAAATATCAACATCTTAGCCTTACACATCTAGAAAAGTTTGTCATATAAAAAGGAAATACTCACTTCTACACCAATATCACAAGCTCAAACATATTGATGAAATAATAATGAAAAAGTTAGCTCAAATTTGCAGAAAACGAAGTAAATCCATACCCCATTAGATTGACTCTTAAGTGGATGCTGAGCTCAATGAAAAGCTCATACATTTGGCCAAAGGTAGACATAAATTAGAACTTACACAAAAACCCCTCATCAAATATCACATCTTAGCCTTACACATCTAAAGTTTGTCATATAAAGGAAATACTCACTTCTACACCAATATCACAACGCTCAAACATATTGATGAATAATAATGAAAAAGTTAGCTCAAATTTGCAGAAAACGAAGTAAATCCATACCCCATTAGATTGACTCTTAAGTGGATGCTGAGCTCAATGAAAAGCTCATACATTTGGCCAATGTCAGCGGCGTTCCCATGAGAATAAAGCAGAGTCGAAGTCGCCATGGGGTACCTAACATAAACAGCAACGATTTCATTGCCGCGGCGAGTTGGGAGCCGCAAAACGTCTACGTTTTCGCGGTGAGGGAAAGGATCCAAGAGCAAAATTTCAGTTGCTTCATCCTTAATTAGATTGTACGAAGGTGGATTGGGTGGAAAGAAGGCAAACTTGGCAGCCATTGATGACGTCACCCCACCCATGTTTTCTTCGTCAGTTTTCTCCCGAACTTTGCAACAACAAAAATATTGGGGGTTTGGATTGAAGCTAGGAATCAAAAGAAAATTTAGAAGAAGATGATGAACATTTTTCAACAAAATTTTCAAGTTTTTGTTATTTTCTTTGTTCTGTCCTTTTCAGAGAATGTTTCTTTTGGCGTCTGCTTAGCAAAGTTTGAGAGAAAGAGAGAGAGAGAGACGGGCAGTGATAAAATCACCATGACTGTCACCTAGAAAATTTATATATACCTGCGAATCCCTTTGGCGTGTGTGTGAACTGTTATGTGGCGGGTCTTTTTAGATCGGTTTTCTCATATAATTATTCCTTTTATTTTCATATTTTATTGTAACCATTTATATTCATTTTATTATTTAATTTATTTTGATTATATTATAAATTTTAAAAAACAATATTTTTTAATTTAATTTTCTATTTATAATAACTAGATTTGAAACTTTAATTTTATTTTCTCATCTCGCTAAATCAATTGATAATTAACTTATTTTATTATCATATTTTTAATAAAAAGTATTTAGTTTATTAAATAATTATTTTTGAATTAATTGTTAAAGAAATTCATTATTGATATGATTCTCTCAATTTAATTTTTTTTATTCTTAACGTTAGAATTTAAATCTTTTATTATTCTTGAAGAATCTAATACATCTTCTCAATGGACGAACTTATTATTAATTCATATTTAATCCTTCAAAAGAATAACTATATATTTATTATTTTATGTTGATTTAATTTTTTTGATTTTATTCTTGTTTTTTATTAAATCCTCATATTCTCTATAAGACTTCAATTAGAGTTTTAATATTATTTTAAAGAAAATTTGTGATGTTAATTATAATTATAATTACAAAATATAAAGTATTAAAATAAATGAAACAATAATTGACAACCATAAAGTATAATAACAAAATATATCCACATCTAAATTAAAATAAATTTAAAATTAATACAAACCATAACAAAGATAAGAAGAATCTACGCATGATTTATACCATGAAATCTTGAATTTAAGCCCTTGAAATTTGTTAGCTAAGGAGGATGTTATTATTTCTTAAGAAGTATTTTATATTATTTTTAATTAATATTTATTTTTGAGTTGTTAGATATCTTTTAAAAAGGTGGCATTGATAAAGGTATTACTGATTTTGTTTATAGAGTTAAATGTCGAGATATTCTTTAATTAAAATTCTAAAATCAATTTTAATGTTTAAGTGATTTAATTTGGTAAATATTGAAAACGAGGGACTGTTAAAGCGAATTAGGCGAAGTTTATCAAGCCCCTTTATGCAATAATGGGAAAATAGAAGGACATAAGGTGCAAAACCAACCTTTTAAAAAAAATTGGTTTCACTGTTGAGGTCCAGGTTTTCCCATTTTGACTACACGTGGCTCGATAATTTTCTGTTGAAGCAATTCCAACAGCAATGCTTGGGTTTGTGACATGAGGGACCATTTTATTTATTTATTGTCTTAAGTTTGATTACTTTAATCAAGTATATTAAATGTTTTTTTAGAGATTATTTCGTTGATCGTTATGAATGTTTTATATAAAATTCATCAATTTTCATGTTTGATTTTTATTTGATAAGTCTGAAATAACAAATTAATTTGTTTCATATAAAAAATCAGTAACCAAATTAGAGAGATAAAATTTAAGCAAGTTAAGAAAGTAGATATGAATGCAACATCCACATTATTAAGTTAGTGTAGGTGAAATATAAATGGCATATGATTGTTTATTTCCTTACATGGATGCAAAGGCCTTTACAAGTTGGTGTAGGTTAAATAATTTATTATTCGTAAAAAGGAATCAATTTAATTAATACTTTAATTAATCATGAGTAGCTAAAAATAATATGTAAGAAATTATTTATTGTTAAATTAATAAGAGGTGAAGAAAGTATACCAAGAAATAGTTGAGAATGAATTAAAGATCATTAAGACTAGGATGAGAAGGAAGAATTTTTTTTAAACATATTAGTTTATATCCAATTATTTAAGTATATATTCAAATAAATAAAGAATTTGATGTATAATTAATAAAAAAAACTTGATTAGTTATTATCTAATTTAATAAGATAAAATATTAAGTTCATTAACAAAGTTAGAAATATTTAAATGACGTTGTATAGGTTAAAAAGATCATCCTTGTAATAGACCATTGTAATATATTCGATTTGAAATAATTGTCTATTATATTAAATATCAATTAATAATTGTTATCATTTTTGTGACATAGCACATATCACGTCATCATTATGAGTGATATGATACGTATGAGTGTGACAAATAAAATATTAATAATTAAGTCATCAACATATATTAATTATTAATCAACTAACAATTTTTTTAATATAAGGTAATTTGACAAAATACTAACGGTTAAAATGTAAAAAGAAAAAGAATATAAATTAAAGTGACTATTTATATAAATGTTAATGGATAATTTTATCACTATAAATTAGATTGTATGGAATTGTTTTTTTAAATTTTTTAAACACATATTTAGATTAATATTAGAAAATATTAGTTCCAATCGGAACTCCAAAATACAACTCGAAATTAAATTTGGAGCCAAATTCATATTTACATTTCTTCTAATTTAAGCATAAGAAAAGGCAAAAATTCCCGGGAAATTGAATATGTGCATGAAACTACTGAGCTCTGAGCTACGGTGGATTCTCGTTCTCAGCTTCCCTTCATATATCTCTTGAAAAATAATTGGGAATCAAATGGACGGGCGCCGGCGAAATGTCAAAATCGAGGAACAAAATCAAATCAATCCCGCCATGGACGACAACGAAACTCCACTTCTTGAACCTGTAATCTCTTCCTTATTTGTATCAATCTCCTTAATGTTTTCTCATTTGGATCAGTTTGTTTGACATTAATGTATAATTGTTCTTCAAGGATTTAACTAGAGACATTTTCAAGCAGATTTGGACCAGAAAAGCTCAAGGTTTCTCAAACTTAATCGATCTCGCCATTTCCCCCTTCCATTTTATCCTCATTTCATAACTTATAAAACAAAGGGATCTGGTGTTTTAATTCCAGAGCGTGAAGGAGTCGGATTTCAAAACACCCACGCCATAGACTCCGAGGTACCTTCATCTGTGATTTGTTCTTTCATATTTCTGTATTTCATTCACTAATTTTCATGCCTCCCCCTAATTTCAACGATAGGTTGAATCGGGAACGTCAAAGAAGATTCGACCCACATTCGGTAATTTATTTCGGATCCAAAATAAACTGATCAATCTCTTAGATTGAAACTAAGGTTATTTTTTATTCAACTAATTAGTAAAAAAGTAGGTGAAGCAAGATGATAAAGGAAATGTGGAGTGATTATGAACCTAACCCGTCTTGAACTTAAACTTGACAAAAAGTTGATAGTTTTCACTTTTCAATATCCCTACAATGAATAGGATTTGAAAAGATAATTCCCGTTTCATTTTCATTCAACTAATTAGTAAAAAAGTATATATGTTGATCTGAAATTGATAAAATCAATCTGATTGCAGCTAATCCACATGCTCTAAAGCTGGGTGTTTTTCTCGAAAAATCACTGGTGATCGGTATATTAATCGATCTAACACCGGTTAGATTATATTTCTCGATCTAACACCCGTAGCAGTAAAGCGCGCCCCCTGTCTCGTGCTATATGTTGATTTGGCGTCACGTGGGGTATAGCGTGCCTCCTATACCGCGCTATATGCTGACATGAGTTACACGTGCGTATAGCGCGCCCCCTGATTCGCGTTATATGCCACGTAGGAGTATAGCGCGGATCAGGGGCCGCGCTATACGCCGTACCAGAATTATATTTAACGCGGTCTCTGGTCCGCGCTATATCTTTTATGAATAATTACATATAGCGCGGTGCAGGTACCGCGCCTTATATGGTTATAAATACCCTCCTCCGCCGGTTAAGTTTCTCACATCTCCTGCATCTCTCCTCTCAACTTATAAATTAATACAATAATTCCGTCAACGAGTAATAATTCAGACAATCTTCTCATATTTGATTTAGAAGTTCGTGCGATTTTTCGTTATAAGGTAATTTTGTTATAATTTTTTAATTATACTTATTGTTTATTATCATTATTTGAAAAAATATTATACTAATTATTTTCAATTAATTTTTATGTTTGTAAAATTGAAAAGCGGGAGCATACGTCGAAATAGTTTTGCGGTGCAGGTAATAATATAATATTATATTATTTAAATTATTTACGTTGATGTGTAAAAAATTTATTGTGTTATATTTTCGTTCATATATAATTTATTTAATCAGGTTCGTTTCAGTTATTTTTTTTTTGCAAATATAATATTGTCGCACTTTTAAACTCAAAGAATGACGCGACTTTCAGCTATTGTTTATTATGATGGTGAAATTCGAGAAGATGAAACTGGCGTTGTTTTCGTATCAAATGAGCGTGTTAAAATATCATTCAAGAGAAACATAACTCCTGAGGAGCTGATAACGAAGATTTCAAGGAAGATTCATGTTGGAAGTAGTAGAAGAATGTCGTAGTTGCAGTACAAATTTCCAACATCATTGTTGCCATTAACTTATACAGCGTTCGAACTTTCGAACAATGATGATGTTCAAATGATGGTTGAAGCTCAAAGTAATTATTCAGACGTCGCTATTGAGATGTATGCATTTTGTTCAAGTGCGTGCTATTCGGGGTCAATCATTAAGCTCTCACTATGGGCTGGCTGAACAAGTTGATCAAGTTGACAGCCCGACTACAGTAATGTGTAATGATTTTAATTTCATAATGGGGAGACATTCATCCGTAACTCCTTACGATATGTATCGATGTGGGTCCCCGAACAATCCGTATGGTATCATCGCGTCCAGTTCAAGGGAAAGACATTCATTTGCAAATTTCTTTGACCTTAATATGGAGATGTCATCGACGCAACAATCTGTGCAGTTTCCATTTGACACGATGGCTTCAAGCTCCAAAGGGAGGCATTCGACTGCGAGCTTTTTCGATCTCAATGTTGATATGCCTTCTAGTTCAAGGGGAAGACATGCAAGTAGTAGGTTATTCGACCTAAATGTGGAGCGCATGGAGGAACCATCATCTCCACCAGAAGAACCGCTTCGTGAGCCTGGTGCAGATGGTGCTGAGACTGGACTATTCATTCACCCAGAATCACCGCAATTCAACTCCGATGATGATGATGTAGATGAAGTTCCAGGAAATGTGACACAAACTGACCCTCCTGCACACATGTATGAAGCTGATTATAGTGCAATGTACGGGCCAGAATTTGCGAATATGCCTCATCTCGGTGACTATGGATATTACTCATCAATAAATAATGGTGAGTTATCTTTAGGCATGGAGTTTTAAGCAAAGAAGAAGCGATGATGACTATAAAAAATTATAATATCCGTAATTCTGTTCAGTCCAGAGTCAACTGATCGACGATCGAAAAATATGTATGTTATTGTGCCCGACGCGAAAACGGATGCAATTGGATGGTTCGCGTATCGAAAATGAAGAGGAAAAACAACATATGGTAACTAACAGTATACAACGGTCCTCACACATGTTGTGCTGGAGGGGTCAACCAAGATCATCCCAACTTGGACTCTGAAATAATATGCCAATCCATTATGCCCATGATAAAAGCAAGCTCTCATATAGCTGTTGCAGTGTTGATTTCAGCTATACAATCGCAGTATGGGTACACTGTCTCCTATAAAAAAGCTTGGTTGGCAAAACAAAATGCCATTGTCAAACTTCATGGCTAATGGGATGCATCTTACAACAAACTTCCAGGTTGGTTTAGGCTGGTGCAGACGTTGAATCCTGGGATAATTATGGACTTTGAAACCTCCTATGCATACCATAATGATCGAGTTCTTCGCGATCGAAGCTAATTCTACCGAGTTTTTTGGAGTTACCCACAGTGCGTTACTGCTGTCAAATACTGCAAGCCTGTGGTCCAAATCGACGGGACTTTCTTGTATGGAAAATACAAGCAAGTTTTATTATTGGCAGTTGTCCAAGATGGCAATCGCAACATTCTTCCAGTTGCTTTTGCTTTTGTCGAAGGAGAGGATACAGATTCTTGGGCTTTTTTCCTCCGAAATTTACGTGCACATGTTATCACGAGGGAAAAAATATGTGTCATTTCAGATCGCGAAGCTGGGATCAAAGCATCAATGGAGTCTTTGGGTCCAATGTGGCAACCACCCTTTTTCCAACATAGGTATTGTCTCCGACACATTGCTGCGAACTATCATGGAAGGTACAAGAAGAATGATGAGCGTCAATTAATTGTGCGCATAGGTAAGTGAAAGCAAGTTAGTAAGTTATACATTTTTTGATCATTTTAATTTTGAAAAGAAAGCAAGTTAGTAAGTTATACATTTTTTGATCAGGTTACGGACTACTTCCTTGAACGTTTGAATCAATGCTTCAAGATTTGCAGGCGAAGAACGAGGAAGGATACGATTACATCAGCCTCATCGATAAAGAAATGTGGACGAATGCATATGATGGTGGATATCGATATGGACACATGACGACCAACTTGGTTGAGGCAATCAATTTAACCTTAAAGGGTGCATGTCACTTACCTGTAGCGCTTTGGTAAAAACTACATATTTTTGTTTGGGGGTGCTTTTTGCGAAGCTCGGGGGACAAGCTCAAACCTGGATGCAAGGCGGTCATGTCTACACCCTAGATTAGTTGCAGATCTACAGAAAAAAATTGATGCATCAAATGGAATGTCTGTAACAAGCTTCTCTAGAAGGCATGAAATGTTTCGTGTCACAGAGTTACCGCGACCTCTTCAAGGGATTGAAGCTGTGTCGTTAAGAGTAAATCTAAGGGATAGAACGTGCGACTGCGGGGGTTTTCAAGCTCTGAAGTATCCATGCTCTCATGTGATAGCAGCTTGCTCGCATACACGTCAATACTATAACCATTTTGTGGATCCTGTATACCTACTATATGAAGTTTTTAAGGTATATGAATTTGAGTTTCCCCTCATAGGTAATGACAAAGACCCTGATGAGGTTCAAGATTGGCTTCCGATTGTACCAAATCCGAGTTTATTGAGGGAGCGTGGTCGTCCAAAATCCAATCGAATTCATTGAGATATGGATATTCGAGAAAGATCTAGACAAGACAGAAGATATGGGCATTGTAGAAACCCAGGACACACGAGAAAAACATGTCCACTTCTGTTGTCATCATGTAACAATTGATGAGGAAATGATGTATTTGTTTATCAAATAATAATTCTTGTACTTTAATTTGCATTTACTTCAAGTTAATGATAACCAAATTGGTATTTGAATATAATTTTAAATACAACAAACTTACAATAAGTATTAAATGATAACCAAATTACAATAACTGATATTAAATGGTAATAAACAAAATTAACTGAAATACATTAAAAAAAGTCCAACAAATTTAACAAAATAAAGTAAGTATTAAATAAGAAATAATAAAAAATTACAATTTAACAAAATAAAGTAAATACAAATATAATAAAAAAAATCTATCGATGCCTGCGACGCGAATGTGTTCCGCAGGGCGGTGGCTGTCGATCTCGATGAGGATTTCTTCGTATCACTGGTTCTAACTCCTCGCTTTCATCATCATCACCATCGTCGTTGTCCTGAGCATATATATTAGGTTGATAAGAAGCTGATGAAGATGAAGCACCTCCATAGAATAAGGACCCTGGAGGTGTATGACTGACTATCCCACCGGCCTGCGAAAACTGGGAAAACCCAGATATCGCTGAGTGTGAAAACTGTACAGGAGGTATCTGTGCTACGGCCATGGGTGATGAGGCTGAACCCGTCAAATATCCAGTATATGAACCCCAAGTCGGATCTACAAACATAGACCCATAATAGCCTCCAGGAGGGGTCATCTGTGACGATGATGGCGGCGGCGGCAGGGTCATAAAACCAGGTGAAAGCGGCGGTATCTGGTAATGGAAAGGCGATGGCGGCATCATATATGGTTGCGGCATCATAAATGGCTGCGGTGGCTGCTGTGAAGCTCCTGTTGGTGTAGCTGATGATGAACTGAAGCACCTGCTCTCCGTCCACGAGTCGGGGGACGATGGTACTGTGTCGGATCATGTCTCTGTCGACGTCGCGGAAAGGTCTGCCCTCGTGCCTCCTCGGGAAGCATAAACGGTTTCCCGTTACTATTGAACCGCTCATAATAACCATCACCATACATCAAGAAGTCAGTAAAAATAGGCTCTCTATGGGGAAGGCACCGATGTCGATCCTCCCACAACACGACCCACTCATGATGCCTCACCAGCCAATTTGTATCTGTCTTGCCACGTCTATCTAAGCTATGCAACTCGTCCATATTGCAAGATGCTTTCGGAATTGGTTGAAAACAACCAAACTGTCGGAGCACACGATCAGTGGAGTGCCACTCGACGGTCGCATAACAGATCAGAGGGACCATCGCCATCCAAACATCTGATGGACCTCTCAACTCAGGTGGGATCACCGCCCTCACATCTCA